GTCTTCCTTTTTTTGAGTTTTTTCCTGTGATCAACAATTACTTCTTCAATGTTCATTCCTTCAGTTTTATGTTGTTCATCAGTGTTCATTTTATTTGTTTAAATTTTTCTTTTGTGTTTTTCAGGGTTTTTTTTAATTTTATTACCAAACAAGTTAATCTATTATTTATTATTTATTTTTACTATTTTGTGTTTCCTAAATTTGTTCTTATTTTTTTTTGATTAATGTTCTATTCTTGGATTTATCTCATAACGTGCAAATCTTCACTATTCTTTGATAATTCATTATATTAATGAATTATTAAGAACGTTTACTCAAAGATGAGAGCATTTGTCTTTTATTTTTATAACCTTATTTTTAATAATGTTTATTTCTCACTATTTTTTATTGTTAGTACTTGTAAATATAATTTAAATCCTATTAACTAATATACTCAATAGGCCATCAACTGAGCTTTGTTATGAAGAATGTAAAATTAATTAGTTTAATGAATACTGTTAAATAATGACTTGAATTGAAGAGATGTATTTATTAAATACCTAAATGTAATAATGAAACAAATGGTAGTAGTCTTGTCAGTGCCCTTTTTTATAAAGATAAGACAAAGATTTATGAATTAGTTTATTTAAGTTTAATTATCCAAGTATTTAAAAGTATGAGGTTTGACTCTTTTAAAATAATTTTTTTTAATTCTTTTTTATTCAAATATACTGATAATTTTTGGTTAATTGTTATGATACTAGTTTAAATTATATTAAATTAGTAGTTTCTCAGATAAGCATAGTTAATGTTATGAATTTTCTATTTAAAATAAATTATATTTGTTTGTTCTTTTAAGAGATTTCTCTATATTGATTAAAATTTTATGAATATTTGAAGCTTACCTTCCTTCACCAAAGGTATAAATTTAAATAAAAATCAAAAATATGAAGTATAATTAAAAATCAATTAAAATATTTTTTGGTTTTGAATCAACAAAATAATTTAAATTCATTTGATAATATCTTTTAGTAAATAAAAGTCATATTTTAATAAAACCATTAAAGAATTTCATTTTTCTTTGTTTTATAAGTTATAGCAACACAAAATAGATATAAAATTAATAGTGTTATTCAATTTAACTGTATTTTTTATTTCGAATAAATAAAACTGATATCATAATAATGAACAATTATAAAAAATAAAATGATTAAAAAACCTTAAGTCATTTTCTCTCACAAATTCAATAATTTAATTGTATTTGTTATAACTATTTAATAAAATAATAATTCAATAAACTTGTTCTTATTAAATATTTTTGTAATTTCGTTTTATTCACTAAAATTGAAAAAATATATTCTTTTTTGTATGAAGAGAATAAATGATTTCATACATCAAAAGTTATTAAAAATGAATCGTTTTCTCTTATTTATTATTTTTCAAAAAGATTTGTCTCAATACAGACATTTCAAATAATATTTTATTTTTCAAAAACCTTTGTTTTTTTTTTAAGTTAATACAAGAGAATTATTAAAGAACAGAAGATGAGAAATAGACTTGAACTAAAAAAAGAAATGTTCTATAAACTGATGTTATATTTAAAAATAAATTAAGTTTATTCTAAATCGGTTTTAAGAACAATAAAAAAATAAATGAAAAACAATATTAGTAATTAGAGCATGACACACTTCTTTCCTTTCTTTTCTTTTTTTGAAGGTTCATTACCTGATTTTGAATTAGAAGTGGTATTAGAAGCGACACACCCATCAAATAAATCTTGATGCTCTACAACTGCTCTTTTTAAAAAATCAGTTAGAGAGGATTGAATATCTTCTTTTTGAGTTAAAGCATTAAATTGAAACAATTTTACATCATCAGGAAGAAAAGATTTAATTTTTTCTACAACATTGTCATCATCATTTTCATCGCTATGTGTTACATACACTAATCTATAATATGGATTGTTGTCATCATCTTTATCATTCATAGGTCTAAATTGACCTTGTAAAAATTCTCCAGAATCTGATTCAGATCTAGAAGCAACAAGAATATGAATTTTACCTTTAGAAAGCATGGAGTTATTAGTAGTTCGACCATTTAAAAAAGTATCTCCATTACAGTCATTCTATTTATTAGCTTTTTTTTGATTTAGAATAAATAAGTAATAAACAAACAAATGTAAATCTATATCCCACTTTATTAATTGTGAGTACTGTATTTACTGTATTTTCTTGTTCAGTTTGTTGGTACTCTTCATTTACTGGAAGTCCCTAAATAATAATTATATAATTTAACAATAATCTCAGTATGAAAAAATAACAAACACAAAACTGATTTACAAGGGTTGTTTTACCAACCTTTGGTAGTCCAATCATAACTATCCCAACACTCCTATTATCTGTTTAATAATGTTGATCTCATCTTAAACTAAAAATTATCAAACTTTTCAGTCATGTTTCTTTTCTTTGATTTTTTTTTAAGTTCTTCATTTTTCTATTTTTTTTTCGTTGTAAAAAAAAGAATTTTGCAATTTTCACTTTTCTTTTGAAAAAAGAAAACGAATTTTATTTATAAAAAGTATTATAAATTTCAAATCTATATTTTACTATTTACTTTTGTTAGATGTTATAATAAAAGATACTAAAACAATTTTGGGAATTTAAACTTTTGTTAAAAATCAAGTTTTTACAATTCTTAAAAAAACAATCTTAAATAAAAGAACAGAGAACTAAAAAGGGGGTATTATCGTTTTGATAAAAATCTTTGTTTTAAAAAAATGAAGAAAATACCTTTAAAAAGAAGTAAAATAAACAATAATAAATTTCTATAAATATAACAGAACCAATCTTTTCTTGAAATAATTTTATAAAAAATGAAAAGAGAAAGTTATTATCGGTTTATTGAATCAGGTTATGATACTTTCCATAATTCATTCTTTTTAAAAATAATTCGTTATTACTTAATAACTGTTATTTTAATTACTTTTTTGTTTTATTCTAATTTGTAGCCCAAAGAAATTTGGGAAAGAAATTTTCATAAAATGAAATAAAAAAATAAACTCTGAATTATTGATATATTTCGTAGTGTTCTTCTCTTGAAAAGTAATTGAATAAAACTTAAACCATTTTAGATGAGATATGAATTTGTGTTATTTACTTTTTTTGTAACATTTTCATTGAGTCAGGTTTTTATGATTTCGTGGGTGTTTCTAAATCAACAAATTCAGTTTAAATACATGAACTAAAACAAATAATAAAAACAAATTTAATGAAATATACCAACCTACACAAAATAAGAGTGGTTGTAATATAGTAATAAAATATTTAATGAATATGTTTAATGAAATGTATTATTAAATAAAAATTTAAATTGTAACTTGTTATTTAATAAAATAAATATGAAATGATAAGAAATTAATAATTAAAATATTGATGGTTATTATAAAATGAAATGGGTACAATTAATTAAACTTAATGAAAGAGAATTGTATATTTGTTTGAATTAATAAATCATTAATTATATAATATGATAATAATAATAATAATAATAATAATAATAATAATAATAATAATAATAATAATAATAATAATAATAATGAATAGTTGTAATGATAAAATATCAATATTTAATGCACATTATTAAATGTATTGTATATAAGAATGTATAAATTGATAAATGTGATTTAATAATGAATAATATTGAGAAATAGTCAATAAAAATATAATGAATGATTAAGAAATGGAGAATAAAATGAAATTTAATTTCAATAAAAATAAAACAGTAGATTTAAAAGGAGAATAGAAAATACAAAAACGAACAATGTATTAAAACAAGAAATAATTAACAAAAATGACCATATCATAAATATTAAGATATTTATATTACAAAATAAAACAAAAAGGATAATAATTGATATGATAAATATAACTGATAAAAATATAAATCTAATATTTAAAAATAAACCAGAAATAGATAGAAATCACAAAGATAAAATAATAGAAGTTAGTATAATAAAATAAAATAGGTATTAATAATAAAGATAATAAA